TAGAGTTTCCTTCCCCAATGCACCTGTGCACCATCACCTCAGTCCCCTGTGCTCCTCCCTCCCTCCCTCTGACCCCTTTCCCTCCTCCTCCCCTGCAGGATGTCTCTGATTTATAATTGTCTGACAATTTTTAAATGAAAATGAAAGACTTTTTTGATAAGTGAAAATTGATATAATTTCTTCACTACCAGAAATGCTAAAGGAAGTCTGGAAGGTATACCACTTCAGAATAATTACTTTATGTGATTTATCTTCCTCTATCTTTTTCTTTGTTTTATCCATTCTGACAATGCCTTTTCATTGAAGTTTTAATATATTTAGGTTGAATATAACTACTAATACAGTTGGGTTTAAGTCTACTGTCCTGCTATTTTTTTCCTATTTTGTCCCACTTGTTACTTGTTCTTCCCTTTTTACTTCTTTTGTATTAAATAAATACTTTCTAGTATTCTATTTTATTTCTCAGTTGTCTTCTTAGTTATGCACTGTTGGATTATTCTTCTAAAGCCTTATGGATTAACATGTGCATTCCAAATTCATTACAATCTTTCTTAGATTGAAATTGTACCACTTCCGGCCTCCCCAGTGACGCAGTGGGTTGAGCGCTGCCCTGTGGAGCTGTCTGCAGCCTCTGCAGCACGGGTTTGATTCCCAGCCAGCCAGGAAGATTGCCATATGGTGTGGCAGACCTTTCCCGTCTCACCCACTGCTCCCCTCAGCAGTGCTTTCAGTCCATCTGCCTGTTCTGCTTTCTGCTCTCTATCTGGTGAATCCTCTCACCCTCCAATGGCTCTGGCCTGTACCCCAGCTCTTGTATAAAAATAAATAAATCTTTAAAAAAAAAAAAAGAAGAATTTGTACTACTTCTTGTTAAACAAAGGCATCTCATAACAGTATAATTACATTTGCCTCTTTCCTTCTATACTTGTCATATGTATGACATCTATATATATATATCATTAACCTCATAATACTGTCATATTTTTCTTTAAATGATAATATATTGTTTAAAATAATGAGAGAGAAAAATCAATCAAGATAACCCATTATATTTACCATTTTCAGTGATCTTTACTCCTCTTTGTTATTCTTGAACTTGCATTGATGTCATATCTCTTCAACCTGAAGAACTTCTGTGAGCATTTCTGATAGTACATAAATTATTTCAGTTTTCACTTAACTGATAATATCTTTACCTTCATTTTTGAGCTATATTTTTGCTGGCTATAGAGTGACTAAAAGTGCCATTCAATTATTTTCTGATTTCCATTGTTTCTGATTAGAAGTCACATTATTATTGATATGTAATGTGTAATATGATACTATTTACATTGTCACTTTAAAAAATTTTTATCATTGTTTTTAAAGATTTGACTCTTGTATATGGATTTCATGTTCTTTTTATGTATCTTGCTTGAAATTCTTTGAGATTCTTGAAACTGTACATGCATATTTCTCAGTAATTCAGGGCTATTTGGTCAATATGTCTTCAAATATTTTCTGATATATTTTATTATCTCTTTTGGAGACTCCAGTTACACGGATATTAGAATTTTTATACTAATGCATTATGTAGACAGCTTTTATTTTGACTATGGGTCATATTTTTCTGCTTGTTCCCATGTTGAACATTTTGTAATTGCTACTGGGCATTATGGATAACATGTTACAGACATTCTAAATTCACTCATCTTGGACATTTGTTATCTCAGAGTAGGTACAATATCAAAAAGTCTCCCCATAACACAGTATTTTGACTTGTTAAATCATTAATAAAAATAATGCTAATAAGGTATTATTACCACTTACCATAGCACCCATCACATCTAAATTTCCCAAATGTTATCTCCCTACCCACAAAATTACACATACATCTATCTGTACATACACACACATTCACACATCAGCAGCAGCAACAAAACTGATTTGGTTCTTGCACCCTTTAAATACGCTCTTTTAGAAGTTAAGCCCCATGTGCCACTTATTATCCATCTACCTTTCACTTGATTTTCTCTCTCCTCTTTAGTATCTTCTAAATCTTCCTCCCTTCTCTCTATCCTCCCAGAAACATTTGTCTCCATTAAGAAAATGTTTTACTCTACTTGTGATTGGGAGTGCTGCAACTATTTTCTCCCCTAATCCATCATGCTTTGCAAGTAAGGAATGTAGAAAGACATCAAATGGAACTGGTCTTTCTCTAGAGAAACTACAAAGTCAACACGAGAAAAACCATATTTCAGCACCTTTCAGATCCGTAATCTGCTTCATCATTTTTCTTAAATGGTAAATTTTGAAATATCTTAATTCTAGCTTTATATTTCATGTTATCCAGCAATCAGTTTTAAGTTTGTTATTGTTCTGGTTATGGCTAAAACAATCTGGTGTTAATCCAGTTTCCTTCAAAAGAAGGATTTTTATCCCCCAGCCAGTTTTAAGTGGCTAATTAGTAAATAAATCAATAAATATAAACTGAGCTTATGGAGCAAGTGAGAACTGCTGATAGGCAACAACAATAATGTCAAATATGTTCCTAAGTTTGTAACCTCTATTCTGCTATTTTCTATTAGTTTACTTTAGCTGAGAGACACCTATAAGGAATGCAGAGGGAATATTATAGGATTGTTTTTACCTTATACTGAATATCTACACATTCATCTACCCAAAGGTATGTTAAATACCTACTATTTGCCAGGTTAATATTTAACAAGACAATGGCCATTGAGATGAATAAAATGCCCCACTTTCAGCCCTAAGCTTCCAGGCTGTCTGCTCAGTCTCCTCCCTGTTTCTTGCTCAGTCCCCTTCTCTCTGGGGCTTTAGTTGACCCAATATCACAATAAGTTAATTAAATATCATGTCTCTATGAATTTTTTTCTAGTTGGCCAGAAATTTAAGTATTATGAACAGATTACAGGAGACAGCAATAAAACACTCACTGTTTCTGATTCAGTCTAGTGGTGGGAGGGGTCTTCCATGACCAGAGGCCCACTCACTCACACTGTGGTGCTTCTGTACAGGCTGCTTCTTCCAATGAGTCTAATATCCTGCAAAGTGTGTCACACAACTGACATTATTAGTGGGAGTTCACGCGAGTGTTTGGGAGGAGGGTAGGGATGGTGTTTAAACTGTTAGGGGAGAAGGGATGGGAGTAGGCAAGAAAATCCTCAGTAAAAAAAGAGTGACTTCTGATGTCCACCTCTCACCCCTCAGCCTCCCCGCTGAGAAACACATCTTCATTTCTTAACTTAGTGAAAAAATAGCAGTGCCCACAGAGGCATAAATGGACAGGCCAAAGAGCACTTCTCTAAGAGAATGTAAGGAAATTTTGGGAGGAAAATGATCTGTGAAGGGGGGTCAGGTCTTATTTCATATTTCTGTTGTGATTTTTTTTTAAAGATTTATTTATTTTTGCACACAAGAGCTGGGGTGCAGGCTAGAGGTGTGGGGGGTGAAAGGATCCACCAGAGACAGAGTGGAGAGCAGAACAGGCAGACTGACTGGAATACACTGTTGAGGGGAGCAGCGGGCAAGACAGGAGAGGTCTGCTGTACCATGTGGGTCACTCCCTGGCCGGGGATTGAACTCATGCTGCAGTGGCTGCGGACAGCCTCATAGTGCTGTGTCTTAACCTCTTGTACCACCAGGGAGGCCCTCTGCTAGGATTTGAGGTACTATGTACACCAGACAAAATTCTTCAGGAATAGTATAGAAAAGTCACATTCAGACTTGTACTTGCAATTTGGTGAATAATTTTAAAATGTTCAAAACTCTCTAAAGTCCATCCATGTACCTTATAAAGACCATCAACCTCAGTTGAAACACATCTTCTAGAAGGATCTCAGAAGCTGGAAAATCAGGGTCATGAGGGAGACTGCAAAGAGCCTCAGTTTTCAGCCACTGACCTCCCCACATGGGGATCTGTGGAGCAGACCACTGAGCAGATGCACCAAGACGATTTCTGTGACTCAAAACTGAGAGAGAGAACTGACGGATAGAAACTGATGTGGGAATGGATAGCAAGGGTGCCAGATGTTTCCACATCTGTCTCTTAGTATCTTCCAGCTCTGGCTCAGAGTAGAGATAAACTCTAATAGGAAGATTCATAAACACAACTATTCCCACAACCTTCCTCACTACACATATAAAATAATGTAACATGGCTACACTTAGTTTGAAATAAATATCTGAAGAAATATGAAGTTTTCACTATTTACCGAAAAAAGGGATTTCATAGCATTTGCTTTAGATTCTGCCATCCGTACAGCCGACACCTAAGACAACTACTTAATGCCACTGAAACTGCTACATAAAAATTAAAAAGCTAAAAAGCTCCCATAGGTTGACAAAAAGAAGAGCTCTTGTGAAGTGTGCATCTGGATAAAAGTGCAGTTACAGAGAAAAGTCACCAGTCTGTTCTCTCCCTGCTTAGCCTCCAGCAAACTGTAGAAATGTTTGCTTGCTTGCACAGAAATGCATGCTGAAGGAGCTGACATGGCTGGATAATGACAGACACCCCCTTTTTTTTTATGAAGCTGTTCATTTTTCAGTCAGCAAATTAAGGAAACCCTTTCTGCAATGACTGTTACACGGCAAGTGATTTAACTCCTGAGAATGAAAGTCCCGCCCGCGCTGTCTCTGCAGTGTATTCTCCTAAGGTCTCCCACACCTGCTCCAAATGCCTCTCCCTACATCTCCTCACTTGACTAGGTCAAGGATGTGGCAGTCTGAGAGGAACAAGGAGAGGTTTCAAATCTGAAACCTCAGGCACGAAACGACTAGTCTTCCCCCAGCTTGGAAGGATTCTCACAGCCAGTAATGAAATTCACCAGAACAGAAACCTCACTTTCTGCCTTGTCCATAGAAGATGCCTTGTTCTTAGAAAAGAATTTCCATTCTGACATTATTCTTGACAAACATTGTATTTGGTGCATTTGTGCATGTGGCATATTTGTGAGTAGATACACTGGACTAGAAGTCACCTGACAAGATGATTCAATCTGTTAAGAAATACTTCTGCCCACAGCTTTGCTCTGGGCATCCTTGACCTCCCTGTTCCTCAGACTGTAAACAACAGGGTTTAGCATGGGGGTGGTGATGGTACATGTCCCACTCTACTGAGTTCTCCCACATGAGCTTGAAGTAGGTGATGGAGCCACAATTGTCAGAAAGAACACAATGAGGTGGGAGGCACAGGTGGCAAATGTCCTCTTCCCGCCCTCAGCTGAGGAGATTTGAGGATGGAGGAGGTGATCAAGAGGTAAGAGATGGAGATCAGACCCACAGGTACAAAAATCACAAATGAACTTATTCCATAATTGATGATCTCATAGATAGCAGTATCCACACAAGAAAGTTTCATGACTGGATAAATGTCACAGAAGAGGTCCACCACTGAGTCTCCAAAGGGCAAGTTGAACATGGCAGTGACATGGAGAACTGCCATCACCAGAACAGTATCAAAGGACCCACAGACTAATCTAACACACACTCCTTTGCACACAATGACTGTGTAGCTCAGGGATTTTCAGATGGCCATGTAGTATGCATAGCTCATTGCTACGAGCACGTTGTTAGCGGCCAAGAACATCTGGGTTGCACAGTCTGCTGAGGAGATGGGCTGGTGATGAAAAATGAGACTGGAGAACATCTGTGGGACAATGACCAGTGTGTATACAGTCTCCAAACTGGCCAGCATGCTTAGGGAGCACACAGGCATGTGGAGGGGACAGTCAACATAGATGATAGTTATACTGATGAGTTAACTGATGAGTTTAGCTGGAGTTAAAATGAGGATGGTCATAAAGTGGGCAATCTGATGCTTTCCAAAGCCAGAGAATACTAGGAAAATGAATTCTGTCACTTCTGTAAAGTTCTTTCTCTGCATGCTGCTACATCGATGTTTGAAAGCAATAATGACAGAATTCCCATCAGCAATTAGACTTTTCAAGGAGCAATGAGAGCAGAGATAGTGGTTCCAACTCACCCTTTCTGGCCTTGCACATAAAAAGAAGACCACCTGTGTATCTATGGGGCTTATATATGTGAACTTTCTCCCTGGAGAACAAACTACTTCCTGTGCATGAAGACTTTTGACAAATGTCCTCCTTACATACACGCTGATGCTAGGAAGGGGAAGAGGGTATCAAGGAGGAAGTCACATCACATCCAGTCAGTGGTGATATCCTCTTCTTAAAACACCACTTGCCAGGGCCTCCCCTGGTGGCACAGTGGTTGAGCACTGGGCTGCGAAGCTGCCCACAGCCTCTGCAGTGCCGGTTCGATCCCTGTCCGCCTGCGAGGGTCCCACATGGCACGCAGACCTCTCCTGCAAGGTCCGCTGCTCCCCTCAGCAGTGTATTTCATCAGTCTGCCTGTTCTGTTCCCTGCTCTGGCTCTGGTGAATTCTCTCACCCTCCCGTGCTTCTGACTGTACCCAGTGCTTGTACGAATAAATAAACAAATCTTAAAAAACAAAACAAAAAAACACTCGCCAGGGGGAATACTACTAATGTGTGTGTGAGGAAAAGCATGGAGATGAGAACTTCAGAGAGACATGACACAGCAAAATGAAGTATTCAAGGAAAAAAAACCTTGAATAGTCAGAGGATTTGGTGACATGGTAAACCAAGGACTTTTTTAAATTAATATTTTATTTTATATAATTCTTACATCATTTTTCATTTTTGCACAATGTATGCATTATCATTTTTGTTATATTCCCCATAAAATTACACCCCCCCTCTTATTTTGACCCTAGTCCTTCCTCTCCCCTTCTCTCCCCCCACCCCGTAGTGTGTCTCTGGTTTATAGTTGCTTACTGATTTTTATTTTTTACTCTGTACTAATTAGTCTTTTTCCTGGTCCCTTATTTAGGTTTTCTAAATTCCTGCTATGAGTGAGACCATCCGGTCCAACCACTATGGAAAGCTGTGTGGAGATTTCTTGACCTACTAAACATAGAGCTTCCATATGATCCAGCACTTCCACTCCTAGGTATTCACTCAAATGACACAGAAACATTAATTCCAAAGGGCACCTGCATCCCTATGTTTATAGCAGCACTATTTACAATAGCTAAGCTATGGAAACAGCCCAAATGCCCAAAAACAGATGACTGGATCGAGATGTGGTACATATACACAATGGAATATTGCTCAGCAATCAAAAAAGATAAACACATGCAGTTTACAGCAACATGGATGGAGCTAGAAGGGATCATGCTCAGCGAAATAAGTCAGAAAGAAAGGTAAACCAAGGACTTTTATGCACGCTTTCAATTAAGTTCTAGTTCTGAATCTGGAAACCTTATTTCAGAGATGCTATGGTCCAAACAAGTCATCATACCCCCAAAGCATCATCACATCACTGAAATTATTCACTCGAGTCCCACCAAAGAAATCTTTTTTGCTGATTCCAACAGTCCTTTCAAGAAATGAGTTGGGAGGAGAGGACCGTGATTGAGGAAGCATTGCTAATTTCCACTGTCTTGAAAGATTTAGGACAATTCAAGGTATGGAATATAGGTGTCAGAGTTAAGAAGAGGAGGAAGAAGTCCCCAGCTACTTGGGGCCAAACAGGCTTAAAGATTTTAAAATGTGGTGAAGACAGGCTTTGACTTAATTATGAGAAATAACCATACTAGTCCCGCCTGTCAAAAAGCAAGTCACACCAGTTGCATGGACAGTGTGCTGCTGATTCTGCGATTCTCCATATAGTGACTATTCCTTGTTCTCTCTTTTTTCATTTTCAGAATTACTGAAATAAATTTCCTCTTCCAACTCTCATCATTCCCTGAAAGTTGGCTCTCTCATGTTCACTCTTATGAAACTGTTCTCTCAAATCTAGCCAAAGAAATCACCATTGCTAAAAGCTGTCAGACTTCACTTTTTTCTCCTTTTTTCTTATGCTTCTCTGAATCATTTGACACTTCTGAAAACTCTGCCTCCGGGAAGCATTCTCTGACCTTGGTTTCCATGACACTACACTATTTTTCTCTCTTCCCAGAGCTCATTTAGCTACTTCCAATAAACTGCTCATTCCACCTACTGTAAATATATAATTATGTTCTGTTCTCTGGTCAAACTTTGCCCCCCGCTTTTTTTCCCTCTTCATACTTTCCTTACTTTTTTCAGTTATAATTTCCATGTTGATTCCTCTCAAAGTTCTATTTGCATCATCAATCTGTCTCCCAAGCTTATGGTGGATTTCCCTCTGGACTTTTCCACTTGCAAACATAATAAATCTTATGCTTTCAAAAGTAAGCTCAACATCTACCCTTCTTATATTCAGAAAAAAATATTCTGGTCACCGAATGTGTGGAGTTTCCCTATAACAAGCAATTCTCTGTGATTCTAGCTGGGTATCCAAAGATTCAACTCAATTCTGACACCATCTATCAGGAGGTAGCATCAGATCCATAGACTAAGGACTTACTCCTACAAAAACACCCACCCACTCTCCAACACTTCAGACATCAGTCTCAAGCCCAGGCTGTCATTGGTGCTCCTGACTAGCCAGCTATAGATTGGATGTTCCAACAATCCCCTCCTTGGATTTGATTAATTTGTCAGAACAACACATAGAACTCAGAGAAACATTGCTTATCAGACTACCAGCTTATTATATAAAAGGAAATAACTCAGGAATTGTCAGATGGAAGAGATGCATAGGACAGGTATGGAGAAAAGACACAGAGCTTCCATGCCCTCCCCAGATGTCCACATGTTCACCACCCTGGAAGCTGTCTGGAGCCTGCCCTTTTCTGTTAGTATGAAAACTTCATTACGCAGGTATGACTGATTAAATCATTGGTCATTGGTGATTGATTCAGCCTCCAGTCCCTGACCACTCTCTCCCTCCCCCAGAAATTGGGGGTTGGAGGCACTAAAAGTTACAGTCCTCGAATCACACTGTTGGCTCCCCTGGCAACCACCACCCATCCTTGAGTTATCTTAGGACTTTTCAAAATCACCACATTGACATAATAAAAGGGTACTTTATTTCTCTTATCACAGGAAATTTCAAGGATTTCCTGCCAGAAATCAGGACAAAAGAAGCAATTATGTGTATTTCCTATTACAAATCACATCATACAACACATATACCTAAACTTGTATTCAGAATACATCAAGAATTCTTACAACCAAATATTAAGTCACATTTTTAATGGAAAAATACTTGAATATTCCACAAAAGAAGATATGTAAACAGTCAATAGCATGGAAAAGAATGTTCAACATAATAACATCGCTAGCCATCAGAGAAACGTAACACACATACCACCGCACACCCTCCAGAACAGCTAAAATTGAAAGCTTAATAAGTGAACAAGTAACTATAAACTAGAGACACACTATGAGAGGGGGAGGGGGAGAAGAGGAGGGATTAGGGCCAAAATAAGGGGGAGGTGGGATTGTATGGGGAATATAACCAAAATGAAAATGCATACATGGTGCAAAAATGAAAAATGATGAATTATATAAAATAAAATAAAAAATAAAATATTAAATAAATAACAAAAAAAGAGAGAGAGAGAAAATAATAATAATACTTGGTACTGCCAAGTAAGTGAAGGACTGGAGCCCTAAGCATTGGTGGTGGTAATATAAAATGGGTACAACCAATTTGGAAACAAATTTGGCAGATCTTTAGGAAAACTAAATATGTACTTACCCCATGGCTCAACATTTTTTCCAAGGTATGTACACAGAGAAATTTAAGATTGTGACCCCACAACGACCCATAGATGCATGTTCCTAACAGCTTCACTCCGAAAGTTTAAAACTGAAAATAATTCACATGTTTGTGGTGAAGCCATACAATGAAATACTGCTCAGCAACAAAAGAAAGCGATAACTAATACAAACAGCAACACAACTGAGTCTTAAAACATCATACTGGAGGGCTTGGGATCAAAATAAGGGGGTTGTAATTGTATGGGGAATATAAAAATAAAATTTAAATAGAAAAATAAAATTAAATTAAAAAAATCATACTGGTCAAAGCAGACACAAAAGAGTGCAGTCAGAGTCTATTTATATGGCACTCTAGGAAACACAGCTTTAAAACTGCTAGAAAACGCAATATACTCAGTGGTTGCCAAAACAGTAAGGGAAGTGACTGCAAAAGAACAAACACAGGGGAACTTCTGGGGCTGAAGGAATTGTCCTTATTATGGTGGTGGTTATCAAGGTGTACAAATTAGTCAAAGCTCACCAAAATTTATACTTAAAATCAGTAGTTTATTGTATATATATTGCATTTATATTGTGTGCTATTGTCTCATGTAATTTTACTTTGTATTATACAATACATATTGGTCACAAATAAGATTCTATCCTAAATCTTTCACTGCTAGACCCTTAGATTGGCTCATTCGGTGTAAAAAAAAAAAAAAAAAAAAAAAGAAAGCAAGCCCAAAACACGAATGTCTGGGACCTGGGAAATCTGGAAACTGATCTGGTATTTGTTGATATCAAAACATGTCATTCTGGGCAAATCACTTAGAAATTACCCTTGGTGGAGCTCTGTGATAGGAAGAAGCCATACAAGAATTTTTTAAAAGGGAATAAAAACAAAAATAAAAACCACAGTGTGAGACAATGAAAGAGACAGCAAGCGAGGTATTTGCAGATTTGTCCTCTTGGGGAAAAAAGAAGACTGAAATAGGCTGACAATTCAGAGTTGGTGCAGCAAATGTGGTGGTCATGAAGACTGTATTCCAAATAAAATAAGAGATTTAAAATTTTGAAGATGCAAAGAAAAAACAATTACAGAATTCATTGACATGTACAAGAAATCACATGTCTATTACTTAAATCTAAATAAATGAACCTGTTACGAAAAAGGACAAAGCTCAAAGTATGTGACTCAGGCTAATCTCCT